GGCATAGGACTCATCTCATATAGCCTCAAACTTCCAGTAAATATTAAAATTCTATCTTGAATAGTTTTTTCACAAAATAGATGTTTGCATTTTTTGATCAGGAATTACCCCAGGTCACCCTAATTATAAAGAGTATCAGTTACTTGTCCCATTTTTTTCAAATAATTAACCCTTGAAAAATTATTTCATTTTTAGATAAATAATTTTAAAAAGTTCTACTTTATTTTTTTAAGGCCAGAAATTAAAACTGTTTAAATCTGTTATTGTATCACTTAGTAAAAAAAATTGTTTCTTTTCAATTTTTTTAAACATATGAATTAATAATAATAACCTGTTTATTAATATATAAAGCATGCAACTATATTTGAAAAATTGATCTTTTCGGACTATATTATTTGAATTTCTAATTGATTTAATATCATTAAAATATTACTTTTGAAAACACCCACTTAAAGTTTTGAATAGTACTATAAAATTATAAGATTCGAGTTTCTTTTACTTTACAAATATTAAAAACTTAATTATATAAATCATGTAACTCTATTTGAGAAATTTATGCTGCACAATAAATTATATAAAAGTAAATGTGCATCGCTAAGTTTTAATTAAATGTTTATTTATTTATTTTATTTTTTTAAAAACCCATTTATCGTTCCAGGTGGGTTTTTTCATGGTTGGCCCACCCAATAAGTCAAAGTGGGCTCAAAGTGGGTTTCAAAGTGGGCTCACTTGGCGAACCCTCTCTTTGGATAAACAAGTTTTATAACAGTGTACAAAAATTTTTCAATTCGCTTAAAAAGTTCTCGAGATATAGCTATACACAAAAAGTAAAATTAGCATTAAGGGGTCCAAACTTTGAAGCGCTCTCCTGACCAAATTATTGTTACCATATTTCCCAGATTGTGGCTACCCTTTAAATTTTGGGGGTGAGAAATCCAAATCTGTCAAGAAAAAAAATGCTTATTCAGAGAAAATATGATTTTGTGTCTGATTTCATAACTTCAAATATCACCTGCACTTATTAATTAGCATATTTAAGGCCAATCCCATCGAGCCACGAAAATTGAGTCCTGAACAGGAAAATCCAATCATTAGATTAAAAGTTGGTGGTCTTTTTTTTGGCGCACTGTACAAAAATTTGTTCTAAGATATGCTTAGAGAAATTGCTTGCTGTTTTCACAAATGTATGTCATTCTCGCTGGTGTGAAGCCTGCTTTGCTCGCAGGAGATTTATTTAGTAATTTCTTGAAGCATCATTTCTAGCAATTCCTTATTCTTAGTTACATCTTTTTAGGAGCAATTTCAATGTACATCAATCATATTCCAGTGAAGAGTTTTTTAAGCATCTTTCCTCTTTGATCGTTAAGATGCTCTCTATCATCCAGTAAAGTTTCGCCACCTTGTTCAGGCTCAAACTATAACAACCTCCTGAAACATTGCAACACTTGTTGCTGTCTTGTATTTTTTATACAGTTTTATAAAAATATAGCAATATAAAAAAATTTAAAAAAAACTATTTTTTAACGACCCTAAACAGACATTAAGAAAAAAGATACAGTAATAAACAGATTGAAGTTATTTACTTATAAAGCATGTATCCTATTTCTTTTATTCAAAATACCTGGAAAAGTCAGACAGAATTTTTTTTTTTTTTTTTTTAAATGAATAACAATTTTTTGTTAACAAATGTGAGACTTTGCAAAGCTTTTTCTTGTTAAAAAACCATAAGTCAATTTGTGTATTTCAGTGTTCTCCCTAAGCATTTTCGGAAGGCCGGTTAACCTTGTTTGTCTTTTGATTCCTATAAATGGGCCTTCTATGCCCTTTTTGTAAAAGTAAGCCTCAATACCTTAAAAACACTGCCTTTTTTTTATTTTTTCAAGAAAAGGTGGTTTTCTTAACCATTTGTTTTAATGAAAGATCCACTTCTGATTTATTTAGTTACTTATAATTATTTTAATTTGATTACTTCATTTTAGTAAGATTTTTCTGATGTTGTCTAGTTATATGTATAGTTAAAATTCGTGTGATGCACAGCCCCAGAAATATTCATATTTTTATCGGGGGTATTAATTAGGGATGTAACGAATATTCGGCCACTATTCGGTAATCGGCCTTTTTGCCGAATACTGAATTTATTCGGCTGAATATGAATATTATTAGATATTTGGCTGAATAAATTCATAATAATAAAGAAAAATATTTTTTTAAATGTGCTTTTAAATATATTTAATCATGAATATTGCAGAGTTACATTTCACTGCTTTAATTATTAGAAAATCTAACATTTACTCAATTTAAGTTGTATAATACAAAAGTGTGTTTAATAATGTTACATAAATAAAAACGTTTTCTTGTTGCAAATTTATCATCATATGTATTTAAACAAGCATTGGAATCTTTTACATTAAAATACAAATATATATAGTTTGTTAAATAGAAGTGTGAATACTATCTGAATCGGCAATTAAAATTTATTTGTGATTCCCTTAATAATATCTATTTATCAATAATATGCACTAGAAATATATGATTATATACCTATTTATTATAAATGTAAAACATTAATTATCCATTTAATGGATGTCTTGATACTTAGAGAAACAAGCTACATGAGATATATGGTTTACAGGTGTAAAAAAATCCTTTATCATTGTAAAGTCTGAAATTATGATGCAAGAACAATATTTTTTCAGCATTTATAGGAAGAAGTCTGTTTCGTTTGGTTTCGTATATATTACCAGCTTCAGAAAATAAACGCTCACTGTATACTGTACTTGCAGGAGCTGAAAGATATTTTCTTGCTAAATTTGCAAGTCTTGGAAAGTTTTCTGCATTTGCTTTCCACCAATTAAGTGGACACTCCCTCCTACCTATTAGAGGTTTATCAAAATAGGAATTTACCTCTAATAATTTATATAAATTACAAATTACAAGCATATAAATTACAAGTATAACTATAACTAAAATATGCTGTTATTAATTATTTAGATTTATAAAAGCCATATTGCCTTGTTATTGGTGTCAAGATATTTAAATTATTACAAAAAAAAATCAAGTTGTTAAAATTTTTTTAAATATACAAAGATTAAAAAAGCAATTTTGTTAATATTTATTTCATTTTTAATTTAAAATTTGAAAATTACTTTAATTACAAAATTACAATCAAAAGAGAAATTTTTAAAAAGTAAGTATTCGGCTATTCGGGCCCATCACTATTCAATACATCACTAGTATTAATGAACTCTTAAGTTATTTTAAATTTTACTATTATTCTAAAATGCTTAATTTTTATTCTATAATTTGTATTCTAATAAATAATATTGCAATGAAAAGTGATAGTATACATACATATTTTGCCATTGTTTTGCTTAATTAAGGTGTTAACTATATTAAGGTGATTTTGCTTAAGTGGGCTCATTATAATGAGGGTTTGTTGATTTAAATCAGCTTGATTTAAATCCCGATTTAAATCAAATTATTTTTTTTTAAAAATCATTGATTTAAATCAACTGATTTTTTTTAATATATATATATATTTATTTAAAAAGTTAAAAAACAGTGTTTTAATTTATTGATACTTTTATTATTTATTTTCTTAGCTTTAAAATTTATTTTAAATAATTGCTGCATTAATTAATTTTAGCTAACGAAATTATTTTCTTGGTATGTGTTAAATCCCAACACATTTGAAATTACATTTTTAAAAATCTTTTGATTCTTGAGATTGAAAGTACAGATTAAAGCAAACATTTAAGTATTTTTTTCTCATAATATGTTTATAGTATCTTAGACATTATCAGATTTTCTATAAAGAAATTTTAAGAAAAAAAATTCTCAATGAGTACATAGATTTTTTTAAATTTATTTTTAGCTCAACTTATCTATTTTGATGTAGGATTTAAATATTTATTTATTTTTTGATGAATGACTACATTTATAAACACAATCTGTTACATTTATTTTGTCATTTTAAAAATCAAGAGGAAAAAAAAAAGAAATCACAATTTAAAAAAATTATGGTTTGGTAATTGAAACTTTGTTTCAATAGTTTAAGTATTCTTTAAATTCTCTATTTCATCTTGTATTTAAATTTCAATCATGCATTTGTTTCAAAATGGTTACTATGCATTCAAAGCTGTGTATTGTAATGAAAAATTGTTTTAGGTAGTTAGAGCTTCTAAAATATTCTTATAATATAGTTTTAATATTAATTTAATTTTGATTAAACATTCATAAAGTTTTTTTAGTCATAAATTAAGGTTCTTACAGTGTATTTGAGTAAAAATAAAAAAAATCTGATTTGAATCAAAAAAATCTGATTTAAATAAAAAAAATCTGATTTTTTTTAAATTTTTTTTTAAATCAAAAAAAACACAAACCCTGATTATAATTAAATTATACATGTTACAGAAAAAAATTTCCCTTTTCTTTCAGTTTTCTACTTAATTGTTTACCATGCAGTTTTTGCTATGTTTATTTGGGCATACTGGCAGACTATATTTACAGATATAGGTCTTGTGCCAAGACAGGTAAGTTTCTTAATTTTTTTTTAATAATGAATATTTATTAACTAATTTATTCTACACAAAGCATTTTTTGCTCAATTTTTATGGTTACAGTGTTAAAAGAGCATAAAAGAAAGTTATGTTTTTTATTAAAGAAACCTTGTGATTTCGCTATGTGTGTTCGAAATTTATTTTAAAAACTTAAATATTATTTTAGTTTTACAGAGCTACACTGCCCACAAATATTTACCATACATTAAAAATTTGACTAAAACGAAAAATATTTCTTCGAAAAGACTGCACCATCAGAATGCTGCTCAAAATTTTACTTAACGAATGCTCACAGACTTAACACATCTGTTACAGATAACTAATTATGCATAAAATAACCAACTATACATAAAATAACTTATATTACTAATAACTATTATAAATAAAAGGTCATTAAAATAATTATTCAATATTTTTTTTAATGCTATTTCTGTGCAAAGGCCATATCTGTCATTAGCCCTCTGACTGCCCCAAAAAAATAAACCTTGTTTTGAAAGTTACCAGGAGAAGAGTTAAAGAAAAAAGTTCAAGGCAGCTTGTCAAACGGAATTATTTTTTTTAAATAAATTGTTTGTCAAATGGAATTTATTGTAATTGTACTATAAATTGTAAAAGCATTACAACTTACTTATTGGTGATATCCCAATTTTAAATCGATCAAGTTATTAGACAGCTAAATGTTATAAAAAATAAACTTTAAGTATTAAAAGAATCTTTAAATTAGCAACCAAAGAAAATTTTTTAAAAAAAAGCTGACTTAGAAAAGCGTACAACCAGTTCACGCATTCTACAAATTTATTCTTATTGAAATCATATTGCATCATTACTCGGACATTTTTAAATCCCATGATTGTTCGTTTCTGAGAGTAAAGATTTTAAGGTTTACTTTCAGCTGAAAAGAATAGAAAAATAAAGTTTTGAAAAAGAAGAAGAAAAAAATTTTTACCTATTTAATTCTGCTTTAAAAAATTCATATTTTAATTTCTAAATCAAAACTATCTTTGATACATAATTCAAAACATATTCATAACTATCTATGCACTTTTAAGTAGATTATTTGAATTTTTGGCATGATTTCAGTCATCCAGGTCATGATTTCAGTTTTCAAAATCTGTAGCAAAGTTTTTTAGTCCCAAAAAATACTTCTAGCAAAATCAGAGTTCATACAATCATTTTTTAAAGCGATATTGCAATACATTATGTGATGCAGAGAATTTAACATAATTATTGCTGTGTGACTTTTTGCCGTAAAACTATCACTGAACTGTAAATATTAAATATTTATACTCGTATACAAGTTTAAGTGCTCATGTGTGACTCTGCATGCACCAGTAGTAATAATATTGAATTTTATATAAGGTATTTAAAATAAAGAGATTTTGAAATCTAGAGATTTTAAATGTGAAAACTGCTGAGCAGGAAATAAGACAACTGTCGAGAAAATGATTTTGATTTACTGCATAGTCATGTAATGAGCCTGTCAAAATGTGATTTATCAAATTTGAAATTCATTTGTCATAGTAACATATTAAAAATATCGTTTCTTAAAAAACTATGTAAAATAGAAGATCAAAACTTAGGTGTCAAAATGAGATTGTATTAAAATATCAGAATTTAAATGAACCTTTGAGAATGCCCTAAAAATAACTGCCAAAGAAGCAATAAAACATTTTGTGGATTAACGATTCAATAGACGTGAATCATGCATGTCATAAAGGGATTGCTCAAATTCGAATTTTGGGTGTCGCAATATCATTGTGTTAAAAATACCAAAGTTTTAAAAATTACGTGGAGATGGCCGAAAAAGACTTAATAAATGTCAAAAAATTATCGTAAAACAATGATGATTTACAATTGAATCGTCATTAATTGAGAACATCAAGAAGTTATAATTTGGATTTGAAATTAGTGTGTTGTGAAAACATAGTACTAAAAATATCGAAATTTGATAAATCTTTCATAGGTAATAACTCTCCTCTTTAGATTAATTTTAGATAGGGACAGTAATTACAAAACTATAGGTTTCACTTAATAGAGGACAATTTTATTAAAGTCAGTTGTTACAGTTTGTACAAACCAAAAAATTTTCACTTACTTTCAATTTCTTTGAAGATGGGTGGACAGTAATTAAACTCAATAAAGTTATACACTGATTTTTACAATGAAATAAAGCTTAGAGACCCTAAAAGCAATGGTTATTGCATTTAAACCATACTATTCTACTGAGAGGAATCTTTTTTGTAATCTGTTGGTTATATTTTACTTAACTAGGATCATATATCTATATTTTCATTGGTATGTTTTGTACTTGGAACAGTGATTGTTCAAAAGTTGAGGACGCATGCAAAATTTCATGTCGAACTAAACATACAAATTTATCTAGGAATATTGATTATGTACATTAAAGTACTATTCAAACATACTATTTCAAAATGTAAACTCATTTATATCTAACGCTTTTATAACATAGTAAATGAATTAAAAAGTTCAGAAATGTGTATTGGATATATGGGACATTAAGGACATTTCATCTTTATTTTATTTTTGAAAAGTGTAATTTAAATACAAAATGTTTTTTACTCCCTATTTTAGTCCCTTTTTTCAGCAAATCATTAAATAATGAAAATAAATATTTTCTTTTAGGAAGCAAAAGTTAACTCATTGAAAATATAACCCTAATGTCTTTTTTCCCCCTTGAAGGTACAGCATTGCTAAATGATCCTACTGTATCATCAAAAAGCTTTTTAAGAGCAAAAAAATAAAAATAAATTATTTTGAAAATAATGGGAGGGGGGATTTCTCACCCTTTTCCAAGAGCAGAGTGAGGTTTCTAGAAAATATAAGAGAACATGAATAGGCTTTGACACTAAACATACCATAATCTGTCAAAAAGCTGGTAATTGTGCATTGTATTGTATTGTAAAGTGTTGGTATGTTTAGTTTTAAAAAGATTTATTTCTTTAATTATTATAAAATTGCAAAAATTTTTGCCTCATCTCAAGAGAATATTCTATGTCTACTTTTTCATCGGGTTGTTGCTACTTATTTTATTTATTTAATTTAAAATAAAAAATATTTAAGCATTCTCCAAACTAATAAATATTAGCTACATTTAAATAAAATGAAAGCATGCCATATTAATTGCACCTATATTTACCCACTCTGCTCTTCAAATTATTCCTTTTTGGAAATGTGTAATCAGTACATATTTTTTTATTACTATTCTTGTTTCTGAATTGTAATTTTCACTTATTCTATTAAACCTTATTATATTCAGATCTTTAGTTTGAAAATATATCTAGTTTACTGTAATATATAAACGAAAGTGGGGGGAAAGAACTAGTTCTAAACTAATAATCCAGTTAACATGCAAAATATCTCCAAATTGCTGAACTGCAAAATCGGAACAAGAAAAGAAAAAAAGCAGGTCTTCACTAGTAATTTAGTTAATAGGCAAAATACATTAAAATTACTGGTAAAAGAAAAGTAGCTCTAAATGATTAAATAATTTAGTTAAAATGCAAAATGTATCCAAGTCACAAAAATGAGATAAATAAGAAAACCTAATTGTAATGTAATAATTCAGTTAAAATGCAAAATACATCCGCATTGATAAAAAAAAAGGGGGAAGGGGAAAAAAGTATTTCTAAACAATTAATTCAGTTAAATTTGAAAACATATCCTAATCACAGAAATTTGAGGATGGGTGAAAAAAGTGCATTTCTATTATAATAAATTTAATTGAAATACAAAATTTATCCAAATCACAAAAAAATAAATAAACAAAGGAAACAGTTTTTAAACTATTACTTCAGTTGAAATGCAAAATACATCCCAATGGCAAAAGTAAAAATTTTTTAAGCAAAATTTAAACAATTCAGTTAAAATGGAACACTTTTCTTTATCAAATCACTGAAGTACAAGTAAAAGGGGGGGAAAAAATTATTATCTTTAAATAATTCAGTGCATAATTCATCCAAATCACTGAAATAAAGTTCTTTACTATTCACAGTTCTTAACTATTGATTCAGTTTAAAAGCAAAAGGCATAAAGATAGATGAAGTACAAAAATAAAATAAAAGGGAGGGGGGAACAAGTTTTGAAATTAATTAATAAATCGGATAAAATCTAATATATATATATATATATATTAAAAGTGAAATAAAAACACAGTGACAAACTAAGGGACAATCATTTGACCCTAAACTGCATTTAATAAAGTATCAACTGATATGACTGACAATAACCAAACCCTTTTTTGCCTCAACCATTTGTAAACTCAGCGAACGAAAGTTGGAAAAAATTCCAGGCTATTTTATGGATTTCATTATTATTTATTTTTCATTTTCTTGATAGAGCTGGGTATTCTTTCTCATAAATAAATAGTTTTTCCGAAATGCAGTTTTAATAATGATCCTTTTAGACAAGTTTTTATCTCAGTTCATTTAATACGTAGAATAAAATTACATGAGAGAAAGAAATTAATAACTTTGAGTTATGAAATTTTAATAAATTGTAAATTTAGCTTATTAAATAGAAATTGTAAAAATATTCTAAAAATGCTACATATATTTGCATTTTTTATTTTAAATGCATAATTTATGTGCAATTTAATTTCAAAACTTTTATTTTTAAAATGTAACAAATTTAATTGTTAGGGTCAGTTCCACCTACACCAATCAGGCTTGCTTACTGCTAAAAGGTTTAATACTTAACTGTCTTTTTTTTTTTTTCATTTATCTGAATTATATCTATTTGTTTTATTTTGTATCTTCTCTATCCGCATTTGTTTCATTTTTATTTATTCATATTTCATTTCTAAGTGGAAGATGTTTTCTTAGGTATTTCTCTATCTTACATTAATGCAGAAAATAATAAGCTTAAATGTATGAGGATCTTGATCCCTGTTTTAGGGGGCTGTTCAGTTCAGGACAAGACTGGTGATGAGGGAAAGAAAATAAGAGGAATAAAAGTTGAAAAAGAATGAAAAAAATTCCGAAAATATGGAATGTTTGCGCATTTTGAAATTGGTTTTAAGAGTGTGTAAATTTCTCGTGCTAACAATTTTCAAATGCGAGAAAAGAAAAAAAATACGAGAGTTTCTCACTTTCTCGCACTGTAGTGAAAACACTATATATATTCCATACCCACTCTTTTGAAAATATTTGTGTATACCTTTGATTAGTTATCATTCCATTTTATTACAGTTCAATAATAAAACCTAATCCTTTTAAGTTTGCATCATTCTTTTTTATTTTAATGAAGTAGACAATATTTTTTTAAAGTGCAAACATTTGTAAACTCAGAAACAATTGTATTATCATTTGACATTCAAATAAAAAGTTTAATTTACAAATTATCTGTTTTAAATATCCAATTTATCTTAACTGTGACTCCTTAGTAGATTTTAGGATGCTGTCTTGCTAACATTTTACTTATTTTATTTCAAGTTTAAGTTATCACCTGCGGACGCTGAACAATTAGAAAGGGACCAAAGTGAAGATAATCAGCGTAGACTGTTAGAAAGTTTTGCAAGAGATCTACCTGTTGCTTGTCGTACTATGAATGGATGTGAGTTACCTATTCAAATATTTTATGTTGGTTACGAAATAAGTTATTGAAACTGTGAAATGAGATATCTTCTGGTTGACATAAAAAAGATCATATTTTTTTTATCATTCTAGTCAGTTTCTTTTAATCGAAACTAAATTTCTTTCAATTAGATTTTTGGAATGTATATATAAATTTTTTAAGACATTTTTGCATATTTCAGTTCAAATCCATAAAAATTAGTGCAAGTCTGCCAAAGTTAGCATAAGAAAAATCAAATCCCACAAAGCATCCAGTAAATTTTTGTTCAAGGAATTTGAATCTACATTTATAAAGCCTAGTATCCTCCGATTTTGAAGGATTTTGTCTAAAACCTGCTAAAATAATATATTTTTTTGAAAATTTTAATGTGTGTTTATGAAATAAAAAGTGTGCATAAGTTTGTGCATGAAATAAAATGAATTTGTGTTGAAGTGCTGCTTGTCCTTAACAGAAGAAAAAGTAGTAGTAGTTTAAAGTTTTATTTTAATTTATTTGATACTCTTTGACTGAAATTTTGGCAAAATTCAAAGTATTTTTCTGCTCTAAATTTTTAAAAATTAAGCTCTTAATGCATACTTAAATTTATCGCATACTTGTGTATATAGTTTATAATCTAGCCCTCTTCTTTCTTAGTTCTAGTAGACTCTTCCCCTATATCAGTGTTTCTTAACCTTTTTGATATAATGGACCCCTTTTAAAATTTTTTAAGAAGTCACGGACCACCCCCCTGTGAAAAAAATAATTGTAAAAGACATCAATTATCAGAAAACATTTAATTTTATTATTTTAATAGTATACAACATTTTTAAAATTAAAATTTTTAATGTGATGGTTGCTGCTGCTTTTCCTTAATTAATAAATTGAATTGGGGGATGGTTTTCAACAAAGCAACGTGCGTATCATGTTCAACATTCAATTGATTTGGATGTTATGTTTTTATTGCCACAAGTGTGGAAAATCCCTCTTTGCAAAGATACACTATAGCAAACGGAATTATAGCTGCCAAAGCTCGCTTTACAAGCAATGGGTAGGCTTCCAAACGTTTTAAAAATTAAGAGTAGTCAGCGGACCCCCAAAATATTACTCATGAACCACAGGTTAAGAAACCCTGCCCTATATGTATAATAAGAAGAATTAAAGATTATTTTTTGCCTAAATCTGTATAGCTTATTATTTATTTTGGTTCACTGCTAGATTTTTTAGAATTATTACCATTTTGCTCAGTAGCTGCAAATAAAACAGTTAAGCTGTAGATAAAACATTTCTTAAATTGTCGATGTTTATGTGCTTCAGAAGATATCACTTCTTTTTTTTTTTATCTTTATTGACTTGATCTACTATATTTTAAAGTCATGCATGCTCCCTCTTTTAGAAACAAGGCTATAAGAAGAAAAAGATATGTTTATTTAATTGCTAGTAATATAAAGAAAATGTTTCTTTTTTATTAATATACTTGTAAAAAAAATTTTAGAAGCACAAGTTTGTTAAACAATATTTTAATTTTAAGTGGAAGATAATTATGTAAAAGAAAACATGTATTAAGACTTCGTAAAAGATATTGCTCCAATATTACAAAATATTGTTTTTTACTTTAAGGAAATTTGCTCATAAAACTGGTTATTTATAATTTTTTTTATTATAATAATTGTTATTTATTTTTAGTATATCATTAATACTGATACTTTTGCACAGTGTTTCAAAATTTAAAAAAATGACATCATCCAGATAGGTAATAGTGTTTTTTATGTTTTAGCTATCAGATATTGTGAAAAGTGTCATAATATAAAACCTGATCGTGCTCATCATTGTTCAGTTTGTGGAGTGTAAGTTACTTTTTCTTACTATTTTAAAACAATATGTAATTTTAAAATGTGCTCATGATTATGTATTTTAGAGCTTTAGAAACAAAAAGATTTTGTTTCTGTTCATTAAGACGCTGTTCTTGGTGGGAATAATAGCAATGAATATAATTATTGTGTTGGAATGTTTTCCATGGCTCGTGTCGATTTTTAGGACTCTGACTTACCAAAAACACCTATTTGATATTGACCACCTTATGAAGTATGGAACAAGGAGTCTACCGGTCATGAAAAAGTCACAAATTTGAAAAAGGGTCATGAAAGTCTCAATTTTTTAAACTAAGTCACAAAATTTTTTCTTCGTAAGCGTGTCATGGTGACATCACATTAATAATATTTATGTTTGAAAATTTACATAGACTGCCGAAAAACAATAAATAAGCTATCAAAAGACGTGATCGCAAAACGCTGTAGATTTATGATGAAATCCACATCAAACTGAGTGATTAATACCTCGTATTGAAAATTCATGTGTCATAATAACATTGTATTAAAAGCATTAACATTTGAAAACCTGTGTAGAAATGAGTGAAAAATTGATAACTACTGAAAATAGCAGGAATGTACTATAGAATTGTTGTGAACCGAGCTCATCAGAAAGTCTTTGAAATTTTCTCAATCACTCAAATTTGAAATTTTCTTATCAAATTAAAATGCCGGATTTTGTTTAATTTTTTTAAAAAAGAAAAAACTTGGAAATGGCTTTAAAAAACTAATATAACCAGCAAACTACATACATTTGGGATGGAGTAGTCCAATCCTGTCAAAAAAGATAACTTAAATGCAAAATTTTCATATTGTAATACTGTCAAAATTTAATAAACCATGTGGAAATGGCCTATGATGTGTGGGGAACATATTGCATCGAAAAGTTTTAAATCAAATTCAAAATTCGTGTCTCATAATAACATCAGAATAAGAAAGCTCTCAGAAAATTATTAGAAGTAATTATCAAAATTGTAGAAAGCTTGGAGAAACTGATTGATAGTAGTAAAAAAAAAAGACGAATTTGCAATAGAATCTCCACAAATCACGTGAATTCAAAATTCGTGTGCCCTAATAACACCTTATTAAAAATATCCATATTTGACTAACTGCATAAGAATATTTGAAGAACAATCTAAAAATCATGTAGATTTCCGAGGAAACTGGCGAAATAGACCTTTTTAATTAATTTTTTTACTATATCGGGCACATAATCGCAATCCAAGAGCTAATAGGTGGTGTTTTCTGCAGAACTTCCTCAAACATTTTGAAGAAGCAGAAAGTGCTTAATGAGCAGACTATTTTGAAAAACAATAACAGTGTAAATACTAAATTGAATGAAACTTAATGTTCTGTGTGTGTTTTTGCAGACCCTAAGTAAATATGATAAAACCGTAAGTGACAAACAGTAGGAAAATTAGAAACTGTTTTGAGGTCAAGGATTTATTTATATTTTCTGGGACCTGGTAAGCACCTTGTTGAATGTACACAGCTCCTTCAGAAGAAAACAATCATTATGGTTTAAAATAAATTTTATGTTTGAAATCCATTACCGAAGAGTTAAGGGTGCTCTGATTGCGCAGTCAGTTTAAGTGTCACTCTTACTGCTAGGGCTTGTGAGTGCAATCCTGGCAGCCGACGAAACAAGTTTGATGTGTATATACATATCAAGGTGCAAGTTAAACTTCCTGTGGCTGATTTCCTCAAATCCCTTGAAGTCCTCTAGTTGGTTGTGGATGTTAGGAGAGAGCGATACCAGCTCAGGTACTGCCCTGATTGCCTGACCAGGGTCAAACCAGGTTTTTATCATACCCATTAAAAGATTAAACCTTGAAAAAAAGGACTTGGTGCTTATCCAGGTTTGGGTGCAAGGAAATTTTTTGTCAGTTAATTCAAAATATGAATGTTTAATGAAAGAATCGTCCTACTATTAAGTTAGTCATCACGCATAATCCATCCAATTTATTTTTCATGCAAATTAAAAAAATTGAGGTTTACCACTGAGTAAATATAGATTTTTTCTTCTTTTTGTCAAGATATCAATTTCAGAAATATATTACCACTGAAGCATATAGACAAAAGAGAAGGATACTATTTACATTCTCAAACCAGAATTATGGAGAGAATGTGTTAATTCTTGGCTTCTTGGTAATGCCACATCTGTCAATAATGATTATCAATAATTATAGGTGTGAACCAATTAAATTGGTTGCACCATAAAGAGCGATAGATAAAAGAATTATATCTCCCATATATTTTGTGGTGGCAAAATCACCCAGTCACTTTTTGTAGTTATAAAAAAAATTAAAGGCATTAAGTATTCAGCATTTTTCTCCTAAGCCATTTTATCAAGTGTTGCAGAGAATATCTATCTTTCATTTCCTTTTTCTCTTTATAAATTAATGTAAAAAACATATTGCTTCTGAAAAATATGTAAATTATTTTAATAACTTGCATATTTTCAAAAGAGCACTAACAGAACATTATGGTGGAACCTTTATTACTATTAAGGTCAAATACATATTAATTCCAACTTTTAATTAGCATGTGTGATTAGATAAACTATTTAAAGATAGTTTCAACTTATGAAAATATTAGGTTATGGTTTTTTAGTACTTTGTATAAATAAGCCTAAAGTGCTTGAAAAGTTTATCTAAAACTTTAAAAAAAAATTATAAATTTTTAAAATTACAATTTGAAAGCTTGCTTATTATATGCATGTATTATATAAATTTGTTTTAATCGAAAACTATTATAGCATGTATTTACCGCATCTTTAAAATGCCCTGTACTTTCTAGATTTTATAAGTTTTTAAAAATTATTCTCATTTTCTTTATAAAGTCATCTTTTTTGTGTCTTTTTTTCTTTGATGTAAACTCAGTTTGATAAACATTTCCCTTTAATTCTTAAAGGTGTGTCTTAAAGATGGATCATCATTGCCCTTGGTAAAATACGAATTTCTTTTAATTTTCAAACATTAATTTTAAACAATGCAATAACATTATTTATCATATTTTATTTTATTTTTTAGGGTTAATAACTGTGTTTCATTTACAAATTACAAATTTTTTATTTTGTTCCTGGGATATGCGTTGCTGTATTGTCTATTTATTGCTGCTTCTTCTTTGCAATACTTCATTCAATTTTGGACTGTAAGTTTTGATTTTATAATAACTATCTTTCTTTATTATTGTGTATACTTTATATTTGCCTGTGGGTGGTTGTGGGTAAAAATATAGAAATTTTGTGTTTGACTTGACTGTTGATTCAAGTCATAAGTAGAGTTTGTTTCAATTTTTAATTACTTTTTTAATAGCAAACTATGTCTTCAACTAATTTGGATGTGCCATTTATGAACAATTCTGTCAATAATAGTGACATATGGAGAATTAGAAACAATTTTGTAAAAGTATAAAGACGCTGATATAGTTACTGACATAAAGATAAGGAAACTGAAGTAGTTGCATCACATTCAACAAATGAACACTAACAGAGTCAAAACGTGGCATTCAATCGCCTTGCTCCTTAGTGGCAGACCGTCCGTTCACCTAAACTAGTGTAATTAAAAGCCTCAAATGTGTACCCACAGAATGTTACAAACTCTGCCTGCTTCAGACGTGCCAACTCTCCCGCATTTTGCGGGAGTCTCCCGAATTTTGAGTTATTCTCCCGCCCTCCGGAATTGATTAAAAAAACTCCCGAATTTTACTGCAATCGACGTCCAAACTCAAAATTACCTAATTTTTCCGCGATTGCGGAAGTTTTGTTTTTCTTTCAGGGTGAATTCTATCCCCTCTTTTCGAACTACCACTGCCTGAGGCGTAGCTGCAAGTGCTTTATTTTTCCCTCCTCTTCAACGTTACCCCTCTTTAACACTCCTACTTCACCCGCCCCCTTACACTGGGATTCGTAGGAATCTTCGTGTGGAGTTGAATGCGATGACGTCACATGACGATATCGAGTGACGTCCGTACAGGAGTGGGGAAACTCGTACTCTCAATTGTTATAATTGATATTGTATCTTTCTGTTTTTATAGTTTTCAATTCGTATTTTACCACGGTTGGCAACAAACTTGTAAACTAGCAACGTGATATCCATTATTCGCTTAGTCTTCGTATATTAAAATTTTTTTTTTTCAAGGATGTCTAAGTAGAAACGGAAGTATGCAACCAATTTCAAAAAATCATGTACCAATGACTTTAGCAAGACTTAATTGCGAAGAGCTAAATCTGCAACTCTTTTTTTATGCATACAGTAGAGAACCATTTATGCGGTATCCAGATAATCCGGGAAAAAGTTTCGCTCGTTTCTCCCGCCATTTTGAACTAAAACGATATGGAAAAAAAAAGTGGAAATTGG